TTTTATGATAAATTATTATTTTATGACTAATATCTTGGCAGTTGATCTTCCCTTAGTTGTCTGTTTTCACCCAAATGGGAAAACTCAGCAAGAGCAGCAGCCTTGACCCCTGGTCTTCCAGTGGAGTCTCCCACGAACCATGGACAGTTAGAAGCAGGCAAAACAGACACTTGCTGCTGATCTAAAAGACACCAATTCAGTGGAGAAGCTGTTGATCTCAAGTGTTAAACCTCAACCATTGTTCACAATCTGGCACAGAATTAATCCCTTAAGAAAAGTATGAAAAAAATGCCATTCAGCACAGCATAGTTTGTCATCACATGCATAATGCAGACTTTCCAATTAGAATGCTATAATTTGGAAACTTTCTTCACAGACTGATGAGAGAGCAATTATTTTAAAAAAGGGAAAACTCAGTCCACTGGGTTTGCCTCAAGTCGCTTCTGACTCAAGTCACAAAGACAAGAGTTTTGAAAACATATTCGCTATTGAATTTTGTATCAAAACACCAGCAAGGAGAGCAATTAGTTGCTGTAAACTGAACCCCAGTAATCAATGGTATGCAGCCAGCCAGAGCACTTATGGAAGATGTAAGCAAAATCACATCTGCTAATCAATTTAAAAAAGCCCAGCTCTTCACTGCTTTTCAGGGAAATTCCACAATGAGATTAAGGAAGATGGAGGAGACGGTATTTAATATCACCAGGCATTTCATGCAGTGCTCATTATAGGTGGAGGGGTTTGTGGCCACAGCTAAACACATTTGATCTGCATCAATAGATCTTGGCTTGCAGCTTCCTTTATTCAGCCCCTTTGAAAATGGCTTCTGATGTGTGGGTGGGGGGATGTCCGATATGTTTAAGGGGCTACTCTCAATTAACGTCAGAGGGAGTGTGTCTGTCCTGGGCCAGCTCACCGGGCAGATCTGGCAGATTACAAATCGGAAATATTGCTGTGTTGTTGCAGGTGCAAAGATAGGGGAACAGACTTTGCTGGCAGGGAAAGAAGTGAAGGGAATTGGTGGGCTTTACAGTTGTGCCTTATTAGAACAAAATTTCTCTCCATGGGCAAAAAAGAGATTGAGCCAATTTTTCCTTTAGTGTCCTTAAGCTGTGCTTGCTTTTTTTTCAGTTGAATCAACAGAGGGGTTTTCATTCCTGGCTAAGCCTACATTCCAAGCAAATATGCATCCTAGCACATAAATCAGAATCCCTGGGGGGAAGGGGAGGGGGAGGGGCAATATAGGGGTAGAGGATTTAAAAAATGGTTATTATGGGATTATATGAAATCATGTGTGTGAAATTTTTGAAAATTGTAGAGCACTATAGAATTTGAAGAATCTTTCATTCAATTTAAAGAAAAGAATCTCTCTTAAAAACTCCTATGTGTAGGTGAGTCTGAGCCCTTGCTTGACAACCTGAGATCCATCAGTGTCCCTTTTCCACTTAGGAGTCACCCTGACCCCGAATTTCCAGCCCCCAAGGACTCTTAATAGAGGAATAAAGAGATGTCTCAACTGGTATGTGCACTTGGCTGCTGTTCAGCAAAAAGAATTTAGGCCAGGAGAAATTATTGAGGTAAAGATTGATAGAGTAGGCTAATAAAAATTAGTATCTTCAGCATGCAAACTGATAGGCAGTGGATTAATATCCTTAAAGGGCATCTTGTAAGTCATTAACAAAAGGATAAATATAAGTAGAAAATGGGTAAAATGTTCAAGTTCAATGATAAGTAAAAAACTACAAATTAAAATAATGAGAGATATTTCATCTATCAAATTGGCAGTATTTTTAAAGATAATATACAATATTGGTGATGATGCACAGAACAGGTGTTTTTATACACTGCTGGTAGTGTGTGTATAAATTGGTGCAGACTGTCATTGCAGGTGAGGGGACAGGTGTGCAGCTGTTCTATAATACATATCAAGGCCTCATAAGCCCTGCTCCAGGAGTTTCACTTCTAGCGACTTTCAAAGGCAATAACCATAGATTTAGCTTAAGAATGCTCATAACAGAGGTTTCATAACAGTGCAATATTATCAGCTACCTAAATGTCCAACAATAAGAGACTAAGTAAATTATGGGACATCCACACAGTGAAATTCTATGAAACCAGTACATATGATGAGGAAGAATATTTGATGATGCAAAAAAAGATATTCATAATAGGTCATTAAGCAAAGAAGCAATTTGCACCACGTGTATGTGTTTACAAAATTACTGGAATTACAGGTGATCTTCATTTTACCTTGAAAGAAATTGGAGGACTTTATAGAATAAGTTACTGTAACTTCTTCCACGAAATATTTTTCCATGAAAAATATTTTTCCATGAAATATTTCAAGATCTGGTTAGATTTTATCCCAAAAGGGACTGATTATTTTCATTTGGATACACTGGTAGAAGCACTAACTCATGATTATCCAGAAGGATATGGATTATGATAAACCTGGCTCTCCATAAATAATCCAAAATTCCATTGGGAAACAGCCTCAACGTCATCTCCCAAAAAGCCTGTTACCAGGGCTGTTCAATAAAGAGAATGGTTAATTATTTTGAAGTTTTTTTTCCTGGTTTTAATCTACTCTGGCAGAGTTATGAATGATTTCAGCCCAGAACATATATGGAACATATGCTATAAACAGAGCCCGCATGTTTGGAGTAGAATTTTTTTAAAAACAGAGAGATCGGGCTTCCCTGGTGGTGCAGTGGTTGAGAGTCCGCCTGCTGATGCAGGGGACACGGGCTCGTGCCCCGGTCCGGGAAGATCCCACATGCTGTGGAGCGGCTGGGCCCGTGAGCCATGGCCGCTGAGCCTGTGTGTCCGGAGCCTGTGCTCTGCAACGGGAGAGGCCACAACAGCGAGAGGCCCGTGTACCACACAAAAAAACAAAAAAAAACAGATCAATGATCTTTCTAAAAGGTTTATATTCATTCTGAGAGCCAAACATAGAAGCAAAAATTACATTTTTAAAAGTTACTAAGTATAAATTAATATAGGCTAACTGCATAAAAGTGCTGAGAAACTAGAGTAATATTTGAGGAAATGACTAATGAGGGAAATGATTCACTTTCTTATCACGCACACTGGTATAATCTAAAAGTAGAATTATTGGACACTAAAAACAATAGGGTGGATTCCTATCTGATTGATTCAGAGTACTTTGAGAGATTAAATACTTAGGTGAGTTCAAGAGAATCAGTAGCATGTACAGTATTACACATATGTTTATGCTTTCCAAAACCTTTTAACAGTTTTCTCTACTTAAAAGATAAATTCTAGCCTATTAAGTAGTGTGTACTATCATTGATAGCAAACAAAATTACAATTGAAAATAAGGAACTAAGGGGAAAGCGGAACACAGTGGCATTTCTAGTCCTTAGTAATAGCTTTAGAGGTGACACTAAACTGAACTTGTGCAAAGGACTGTCATTGATTGTAATTGCAGGATTAAGGAGAAATAATACAAACTACTTTTGTAGAGTGATAGGTTATAGGTTGTAAACTATGACCCAGATACATAACCTGGGAGTAAAGGAAACATTTGACAGAAGAGTACAGAAAGGGGCTTTGGTCAGGACACCAGGTTGGAACCCTCACTGAGTTTAGATAAATTACTTAACAGCTTTAAGCCTCACTTTCACCATATATAATTTGATGAGAATAATAATGCTTGCTAAGAGGACTTTTGAAAAGATTTAATAAGTTACATAGAGCATTTAGCATAGGGCCTGGTACATGGTAAGCATTAAAGAAATGTTGGCCATTATAATAATAATGATCATTGTTGTTATTGTTACAAATGATATACTGATATTCGCTCAGCAAATATTCATTGAGTGTAGGCTCTGTGTGAGAGTCTGTGCCAAGTCCTGCGTGTGGAAAAACCAATAAGACATAGACACTGTCTTCAGGGAGCTCACTCTGTTCTAGCTGGTGGAGGAAACAAATGTGCATGCCCAACTGTAAAGCAATAAGATAGATATCTTGTATGGGAAGGACTTTTGAGGCTGAAATTATAGAAAACAATGATCTCTCACCACAGTGGCACTGTCAGAAGCAAAAGGCTGGACTGTGGTCTGCTCCCGTATTATAATATTTAGATTCTTTTTTTATTCTAGTTTTAAAATTCAGGAATGACACACATACAGTGCACAAACCTTTTGTGAATAGCTTGATGAATATTTACACATGTATATACCCATGTAACCTCCACTAGATCAAAATTAGCCCATTTCCAGCATCCTAGAAGGTTCCCTCACCCTTTCCCAATCATTCCCTCCCCAAGAGGTAACTACCATTCTGACTCCTGTCACCATAGATAAATCTTGTCTCTTTTGAGCTTCAAGTAAATAAAATCACATAGTCAATACTTTACTTCTTATGTGAGCTGAAAAGGGGGATAAGAAGAACAGGACCAATATAATCAATTTCTAAGAAATAAAAAGTTTTACTGACGAATATATGTTTGCCTGTATCTCCCAATCAGGCAGTCTTACGAAAGCTATGCAGAATGTCTGGTCAGAATGAGAAGGAACCTGAAACATGTTTAAGGTCATTGGGGCATACTAGTAACTACCACTTAGAATACTGATTAGAAAGCACAGATTTCCCCATGAACAGTGGTCTCAAGGGTGTTACCTTTGTTCAGCCCAGCCAAAGAGATGAGAGCTGGAAGAATCAGGAAGGAGGATTTGGTGACATCTCCCTGATAAGCCAGTCAGAAGATCTTTGCCACTTGGGGGACAGAGGCTGCCTGGGGTTGGGTGACTTGTGAAATAAATTTTTAAAGAAACAAGCCTCTCACTGCAGGCTGACTCCACCTTCTCCCAGCATGCTTTCGTTGGGGATTCATTTTCTTTCTTTAGTCCTGGAAGTGTGTGGGCAAAGAAGACAGGTTAGAAGGCTAGAGTAGACATAGATCCCCTCACACACACAGCCTAAGGAAAGAGCCGGGTGGATCATTCACAGCATTCTTATGTTTTCCTCCTGTTCAGGTTATTACTGTGGGATTGTGACGATCGGAGCTATAGCTACTACATCGAGGTTTCCACCAACCAGCAGCAGTGGACCATGGTAGCCGACAGAACTAAAGTCACCTGCAAGTAAGTTACATCCTTCAGGAATTTATGCCACTTTAAAAGACAGTCTTTCCACTGGATTCAGAAGGTTCCAATGAAGATTCATGGGGTCACCAAATTATATTCTTATTTGGAGGTTAAAATATTCTGATGATCCTTTACTTCAGTTTTGACTATTAAGTACTTGGATGAGAATTTACTTTATATGACCAAAGAAGCATTTCTTATTTTGTGGTTTTAACTTAACTTTTAAAAATGGCATGTATCTAAGCAGGGAAAAGAAAGATACTTTTCACATGCAATCCTCTCTTAGGTCCTCCCCCAACATCCCATACTACCCCTTCGGGACTTTTTTCTTCCTTAGTGATTTTTGCTGATGCAATACACACTTTAGTAGTATTCTGAGACTCTCACCTATTCCCCACCCTCATATCATTTTCAGGGTTACCTTTAAATATTTATTTCATCTCCATGTTAGTTACACTGTTACCTAAACTAAGGAAAGTTTGTATCTTAGGTCTCCTGTGGGAAACAGAAACGTTTCATGCATATGGCATTGGGGCTCTGTTTGACCTTACCTGGTTAGGGGGGAAGCCAGGCAGAAGGATTCTGAGTTCTGACCAGCTTAGAATCATGCTAAGAATGAATGTAATCACCACTCAGATTGAAATGAGCACATCTGCAGCATCCTAGAAGGTTCCCTCATACCTTTTCCCAGTCATTGCCTGAAAAGGACTCAGTGCCTTTTTGTGTAGAGCCAGATGCTGTGGGAGGCAAGATAAAGCAAATAGCTGAGATTTCTTTTTTTTATTTTAATTGAGATATGATTCCCATACCATAGAATTCACCCTTTTAAACTGTACAATTTAGTGGGTTTTAGTATGTTCAGAGTTGTGCCATCATCATGACTATCTACTGTTCCAAAACATTTTCACCACCCCAAAAAGAAACCTCCTGCCCATTAGCAGTCTCCCCATTTCCCTCCAGAGCCCACAGCCCCAGCACCCAGTAATCTGCTTTCTGTCACTATGGATTTAAGTATTCTGGACATTTCATATAAATGGAATCATATAGTATATGATCTTTTGCTCCAGCCTCCTTTCACTTAGTATAATGTTTTCAGGGTTCATTCATGTTATAGCATGTATCAGTACTTCATTTCCTTTTTATGACTGAATAGTATTCCATAATATAGGAATATATATAGCACATTTTGTTTATCCATTTATCAGCTGATGAACATTTGAATTGTTTCTACTTTTTGGCTATTATGAGTATTGCTGCTATGAACATTCCTGTACAAGTTTTTGTGTGAACATATGTTTCCAGTTCTCTTGTATATATACCTATGAGTGGAATTGTTGGGTCTTATAGTAACTCTATGTTTAAGTTTTTGAGGAACTGCCAAACTTGTCCACAACAGCTGTACCGTTTTGCATTCCTACCAGCAGTATAACAAGGTTTCAATTTAACCACCTTCTTGCCAGTACTTGTTATTGTCTATCTTTTTGTTCAGAGCCGTCCTAGTGGGAGTGAAGTAGCATCTCATAGTGGTTTTGATTTTCATTTTCCTGATGGCTAATGATGTTGAACATCTTTGCAAGATTTCATAATAGCATTAATGATGGCTTGTTTGATGCAGTGTCTGACATCCTCACCATTATTATTATAGTAATTTTACAGCATGTTTGTATTGGTTAGGGTAACATTTGCTGCTGTAACAAATAATGGCTTCAGTATGTCAGTGGCTTAACACGATACTGTACTTCTCAGTCATGAGTATTCCTGGTTGTCAAGTGGCTCTTCACAGATGATTGAGGAACCCAGGTGTCTTCCTTCTTGTGGTTCTGCCATCATCTAGGGCCTCATCAGCATCATTTGCATCTAGCTTATAGATGGGAAGAGAGCAGAGAGAAGGTAAACCTGGATCTGAACAGCCTTGGCCTGGGTATAGTAAACATCACTTCCACTTGCATTCCACTGGGGAGGACTAGTCAATTGCCACACTAGATGCTAGTAGGACTAGGAAACGTAGTCAGCTCCTGGCTGGGCAGCCACTTCTCAGTGGATTGCAGATCTTGTAGCCATCTCTACCATACCAGAAGAAAACTAACAATTATTTAGTTACTAGTATTCCTTTACCTGCATGTATTTTATCTTATTCTGTCCTGAATACAAAACACCTTGTGTGGGATATTGTCCTCATTTTGTAAAAGAGAGAATGAAGGGCTCTTTCTCCAGTACCACATTCCCTCCTAGAACCCAAAGCATTGCTAAACCAAGGTGGATGATGAAAACTGGGAAATGAAGTGATTCACTTATTTCCAAGCTCCCAGAACCCTTTTTATACACTAGGAAGGCCTTCAAGGCCCATGAACAACCACCCATTTATCTTTCCAGAGTCATTGCTTATTGGGTATACAGCTCACAAACCAGACCCTCTCTTCCTCATCTTTTACACATCTCACTGGTTACCGTCACCCATCTCTTCTGTCATTTTATGAGTTATAAATTGGATTCCTCATCTCTTTTATGTCCCCCTGTTGAAGGTGTTACACATTTGGGTTTTCAACAAGACCTGGTTGACTAACGACTGACAAGGTACATATCATAGTGATTTTATATTTATTTAAATGGGTTTTTCTTGATTCAAAAACCCATTCACTCATTAGATCCTCTCCCAGTAGCCTTGCATTAAGTCATCAGCATCTTATTTTTTCTCTTTTTAAATTTTTGTTTGCATTAGTTGGTGGGTTTGAATAATAAAAGTGTTTTTAACCTTGTATGTTAGCACTTAGGTACTATAGCAGTAAGTGTTTTACAAATTAATAAATAATATATTAGAAGAACAAGAGTAGTAGCAAGAAGGCGAGTGCCTATTAATCCTCTAGGAATCAATGGAGCCAAAGGTTATGATTTAATGTTTATAGACATAACCTGAATCTATTGTGCCTCCCATTTTTGAGTTAGTTCTTAGAAGATGTATTGGTTGGCCAACAAGTTCGTTCAGGCTTTCCTGTAACATCTTATGGAAGATATGTAGATGATAAAAGAAGAAAGCCTTTTCTTTTGAACTAATGTACTCCAGAGCAGTCCTCAAGAGAGGATCCTATTAGCTTCAAGTATTGTAGCCTGTTTTTTTTTTTTTTTCACGTTACGTGGGCCTCTCACTGTTGTGACCTCTCCCATTGCAGAGCACAGGCTCCGGACGCGCAGGCCCAGTGGCCATGGGTCACGGGCCCAGCTGCTCCGCGGCATGTGGGATCTTCCCGGACCGGGGCACGAACCCGTGTCCCCTGCACTGGCAGGCGGACTCTCAACCACTGCGCTACCAGGGAAGCCCTGTAGTCTGTTTTTTAGTGAAGTAAAGTATGCAAGTCATGTTATAAATGAAATTCTATAGGACCATTAGAAATCAATAGCCCTGCCTCTTGATAACATTCTATCTAGTCAAGAAATCAAAGGACAGATTTTTGCTGTCCTCTGAAAAAGACCTAGGAAGTGAGATTCTCCAATGTCTTCCTATAAATTCCTGCTCCTGGGTTGGGATAGTTTCCTTTTTTGGCCTGCTACAGTTGGAGCTTTCAGGATAAAGGCTCATTTTCTATCATACATAATCCTGTTTTTATATTGACTGATTTGGGGGTTTTCCCAGCTTATTGAGATGTAATTGATATATAACATTGTATAAGGTTAGACTGTGCAACACAATGATTTGGTATATGTACATATTGCAAAATGATCACAAGTTTACCATCCATCACCTCACCTAGTTATAATTTTATTTCTTATGGTGAGAACTTTTAAGATCTACTCTCTTTGTAACTTTGAAATATACAAATGTACTGTTAACTATAGTCACCATGCTGTACATTATATCCCCAGAACATATTTATCTTATAATAGGAGGTTTGTACCTTTTAACCACCTTCTCCTATTTCCCTCACCCCGTCCCCCCAGCGCCTGGCAACCATCAGTCTGTTCTGTTTCTATAAGTTTGTTTGTTTAGATTTCACATATAAGTGAGATCATACAATATTTGTCTTTCTCTGTCTGAGTTACTTCACTTAGCATAATGCCCTCAAGGTTTATGTATGTTTTCACAAATGTATCAGCTGATTTTATAAAATTACTTTTTGTTCTCTTTTTTCACATAATCTATTCCTGTACCTTTTAACCTTATTTCACCTTTTTTAGAAAATAAATTATTTATTTTTAGCTGCGTTGGGTCTTTGTTGCTGTGCGCAGGCTTTCTGTAGTTGCGGCAAGCGGGGGCTACTCTTCATTGCAGTGCACAGGCTTCTCATTGCGGTGGCTTCTCTTGTTGTGGAACACGGGCTCTAGGCATGCAGGCTTCAGTAACTGTGGCATGTGGGCTCAGTAGTTGTGGCTTGCAGGCTCTAGAGCGCAGGCTCAGTAGTTGTGGCGCACGGGCTTAGTTGCTCCGCAGCATGTGGGATCTTCCGGACCAGGGCTCGAACCCGTGTCCCCTACATTGGCAGGTGGATTCTTAACCACTGCGCCACCAGGGAAGTCCCTTATTTCACTTTTTAATCGTTGATTCCTTTTCTCTACTGTCTTCTAAATTGCTGAACCCTAAATCTGTATCAGTACAGTAAAATACTACCATCAGTTTTTCTTTTTTTATTATAAATGTAAAACATGCCCATGGAAAGTTATTTTCAACAGTCCAAAAAGATATAAGTGAAAAGTAAATTTTTACCCTCCCATCTTCTGTTTCATTCCTCAGAAGTAACTACTTTTGACTTTTTTTAGTTTTTATAACTTCTCAATTATAAATAATATTTTTATATCTATTTATCAACTTCACTAACTCCTTGGTATAAAAATAAATGAGGAATTTAGCTCACTTAACCACTCCTCATTTTTTGTTAGTTATGTTTTTCTTTTTAGTTCTACTATTACTTACCTTTTAAAATTAAACAATGTATTTAAACCTCTATTTTTTGATCCATCAATTGTGGATAGTGTATCTTGACTCCCTACTATGTTAGTGAAGAAAT